TCCCTTCTAATTTTGCTGTCTCCAGTAATGGTTCCAAGGAGATTAATGCTGTGGTACAGTTCTGTTTAGTTTGCTTCCTCAGTTGTCGGCATTAAACTTCAACAGAAATCAAAGCTGGTATTAACTGGAAAGACTTTTTTTTTAATCTTCAATGGAGCCACACTACTCTAAAAATATGGAATTTGATTCAGAGGAGCTGATAATGTTTCCTTAAACAGCTGCTTTACAGAACACTTTGGATTTTTGAATAAATGACTTTTGTAGTCTACAAATTCCTTTCCAAAATGATACATATTCAGACGTTTGCTCCACTTGAACAAGCCATACTGAAAGATCAAAGGAAGGTACATTAAAATACAGCAAGTAGGATTATTATTATTTGTAGTATTTTTTACATTGTACAGAACCCCAGATATAATGCGAGTTTTTATACTTCGTAAAAGTTCTTTATATCTATACACAAAAAACAGATAACGGTGATTGAAAGAAGTTAACGACTACAAACAGCACACCGACAGACAGGTCGTAGTACCAAAGAAGTGATCTACTTACGCTGGCCCCATTGGCCACTGCTGGGATTCAGATAGTTGGGGTAAAGGCCCTCTGGTTTATCTAGTCGATTTAGAACTTTTCGAATATTCATTACCTGTTGGAAAGGTACAAAACACTGAGCACTGATGCGTTCCCCCCCGCCCCAAACAAAAGTGTCAATACGAAAGTCTTAAAGTGCAAATGTGCCTAAAAATAAAAATAGTCTTATTCTACGCATATACCTGAACACATCTGGGCAATCACACTACTATTAAAAAAGATCCTTTAAGCTGCTATCATCACATAAACGAGCTCCTCAAAACCTCTGGAATTTCTGTGTCGATTGTCAGCAATGAAACAACACAACAGAAGCAACCTCCCAAGTCCAGGACTTGCCATACAGGGTATCTTGCCCCTCCACAGTGTCGTGAAATTCACGGAGGCTTGTTGCTTGTTGCTAAGCTCAGCTAATTCAGCATTATATTTCTCATATAGCCAAAGCAGAAATAGCATTAAATACTAGGCCTATCACCTAGTTCAGATGCAGAAGTGAACTGTAAAGCAGTTTTGCCTGGAAAGGAGAGCACTGCTGGAACTGAGCTTCACACAACCAGCTTGCCCAGTAGGAACCCAAGCAGCCCTGAGTGATCCACTGGCACTGTTAAGGAGCTTGCTACAAATGAGAGGCCTGGGGCAACAATTACAGTCCAGATGCTCTGCAGCTGGAGTCATCCAGCAGCACAATCCACTGCAGAGCACATGAAGTAATTTATACTGAATTTTAACATTCACCGAAAAAGCAACTTGGGAGAATGAAGATCCTGAGCACCACAGACCAGAAATTGTAACAAGAAGGTACTGACAGCTTCATTATAACACCCTGAATGCCTAGAGATCAAGTGAACTAGCTGCTGAGAAGGAAGATAAATTAGCTTACACCAAGCTGCAGAAGGATTTCTGTTGTGGTACACAAACTGCCTTCTGCATCCTGACACTACATTGCTAACAGTCGCTGCCCAAATGCAGACCGCAACGAGTCCTAGGCCTCCTTTAATGAATTCTTCCATGCAAAGCTTATTCCAGTGTTTCTTCTTCTTTATCAAGCGTACCAGCCCTGGAATGGCTTGCCTCGGAGGGCTGTGCAACTGCAATCTCTAAAAGGCTTTAAGAGCAGCTTACATAAATAGATTTCCAGCATCTTGCAGCTATAGCTCGATGTCACTTTGGAGGAGAACCATAGGCTAGGATATTTAACATACCCACTCTCATCACACTTTAGTTGTTTCTTAGTAGAACAGATGTCATACATTAAATTACCATAAATGTAAAAAGATAATTAAGTTATCTAGCAAGTTTGTTTCTGGCTGTTGCTGGATGCTGTCACCAACCCCCCCGTTCAGATTTGTTTAAGAGAAACTCTCTTTTTAAATTCACCCCTAAATACATTAAAATTGCTAGGAGTTTCTTTCACAAAATTTATTCCAGTGCTGATGATGGTATTGCAGCAAAGTCATTCAGTCCTTCAAGTCCGGTACAACTAGTATTCATTTTAGATTTGACCATGGCTTTTAAACCTACTGTGAAACATTTGGAGTCTCATTATTATTTAGATTATCAGATAGATAATATCAGTTTTAGCTAACGTGGGGCAGTTGCATTAAGAATACATTGCCAAAACAAGGGGAAGCTTTAACTAGGGAAAAAAAAAAAAAAAAAAGAGAAGATAATTGATATAGTGTATTATAAAGAACAGGACTCGCTGACTATTTACACACCAAAAAGCAAGCAAAATTGCTTAGGCAGGAATTGAGGAAAGAAGGAGTTGCTTTCCATGGCTCATGTAAATAAAAAGTATCCAGAAGACAATGTTATCAAATTTTGGAAGAATTAGTAAGCACAACTGTTTTGTTAAAGGATGCTTTTTTGGTTTTTTGTTTGTTTCTTTTCTCATTCCCTAAAGAAAGCTCAAAGCATATTTCTTAAATGTCAGTGCAATGGAAGGGCTTTCTGACCTCACTGACAGCAGTGATACCACACAGCATTTTGAAGACTAAACTTGCTGGAATCACACAAGTAGCCATGGTGCTTTGCTTTCTACAGGCATCACATATCCCAAATATAAAGTCAATTTTTGTTTTTACCACGTTCAGGCGAGGTACCTGCATTAGGTGAATGCTCTATGGTCTGACTGTTTAATGGGATACTAATTTACAACGTACACAGAAATGATATGTTTTATGGGGCCAGGCAAGTGCTATATACAAGAAGATACATCACAACAATTCTGGAACAGATTTTTTACTTTATAATACAAAAACATGCCAAGGTGATTAGGGAAATATCTAGAAACTATCTACTTTCTTTGACAAATGCTTATAACAGGAAAATCCAAATCTCTCCCCAAAGATATCAGTCTCGCAACACGTACTTTATGTTTTACAACATGATTTTGACTGAACAGTCTAACCTTTTCTGCAAAGACAGGGTTTCCAGACAGATGGCTCAAGTGGACAAACTCCAGATGCAAAGTCCCAAATTCTGCCAAAATGCTGCTGCCGCCAGAGGCCCATGGCCAATTTCGACCGATTCCACTAAGATGGGAGGGAAGAGAAATACAGGAAATAACCATGAGCATCCAGAAGGCAATGCTAATAAAATATAACAGTAGTAGTAGATAGACTATTATCAAGAGAAGATAATTAATTTAAAATGTACTTAATATCTGCATAAGAGACCATGCTTCGGCAGCCTTCCGTGACTTCACCACAGGACCTTGAATTACTTCGGTCCAATTCTGCTTAGGCTTGAAAAATTGCTTCTTGCAACAAGCCAGTCTTTTAGCTCATGAATAGCTCCATTACACGTATCACTGTACCAGCGTTTCTCTGTATGCTAACATGTTTAAAGACATTACAAAAAACATTCAGTATGAGAAAACATTCTCATAATTCACCTGTTTTCCCTGTATTTAACACAACACTCCAATTCTAACCTTTCTACAGTGCAATTGTTTATTAACTTAAAATAGTGCACATATACAGCACAGGCTTTAAGTTAAAAGTACTATGTGCAGTATTATCCTCCTTAATACCTGAGAATTTAATAGAGTAGGATATGTAGGCATTGTCTGTATGGGTGCTCTTACCAGGATGAGTAACTTCAGTTTTAATTAAGACCTAAAGAAGCTTCACAGCAAAATTAATCTCAGGTTTTGTGCTGAGAGTAGAGAAAAGCACGTTTATCGCTAAATCCCCACTAGAAACTAATGCTGGTTGAGACTCAGGATGAAAAGTGTTCTAAAGGTTCATTACAAAAAGTGGGTTTTTTTCCCTTGAAATTTCCAGCAGCAATATTCAGAAACCATCCTGAAATTAAGGAAAAGCTAGCCAACTTTCTGGAGTATCTAGGTGAATAACAACATATTAGACCAGCATATTACTAGCATGAATGTTAGATATAAATACAATTATTAGGTACTGGAATGTCTTCCTCATTTTCAAGTTGTAAACAGCATTAAACACACACACACACACACATACATATATAAATAAAAATCTCGTATTACTTTTACACATAACCAGCCACTACAGCCATCAGTTAGCACTTGCACAACCATGAAAACTGGGTATTCTTCCTACGTTAAAGTGTGACTCATATTATGGAAAAAAAAAACCCCAAAAAAACAAAAACAACAAAGCAAAAACCCAAGAAACCCCATCTTTAGTTCATCATGATGGAAGTCCTCAGTTATTATTAAAATTTCTTCTTCAAAAGGTCAAGTATCTATAACTGAAGTTTAACCAATATAATAAAATTAAGTCTCCATTAAATTAATTTCCCCACTAGCCATATTAACACTTTATTTTGAGATTTCTGCCACACATACAAAATAAAAACAAGTAATTAAACTTTAAAAGTAGAGTAAAAGCTACAAATAGAGGGCACATTTGTGTGGTACTTCAATGTCACGGCTTTAAACCATGCAACACTTTTGGCTGCCTGGCCTTGAGCTGAAGGTACTGCTGGAACTCACTCAAGGGCCACCAAAAATAAAAGCAGAATATCACATACTGATATCGTCCCATTTCTGAAGTACCATAGCATCTGTCAAATAATCTCCACAGGTATGCTACAGATTTTCTTTTTCCCAGACCATAAAGCATTGAAGTGACTAAGCTTATCTGAGTGCTGAGCGGAAGGAGAACTTGGCACAGCAAAAAGAAAGAGACACTCAACAAAGCTCTCGGCATACGGAACAAGAGAGATTTCGTAGTCTCTGATCCTTTTTGACCAGGGGAAGACGACTTTAGCTTTTGTTTAGCGGTCTCTTGGCTTAAAAAAAGGGAACTGAAGAAGGTGGTGTTCTTCCACCCCTCCCCCCCTCAAATTTTCCTAAATACTGTATACTTTTAAACAGAACAGGCCTTAAGCGAGAGAACCTGAACAGATGGAGGGATAAGGTGAAATGGAAAAAGATTTCTGTGTCAAGGATTAAAAACAATGAGTCCTTTACAAATGACATGAGGTGCCCTAGAAAATAACATGCAATAAATAAGTGTAATAGCTCAGCAAATCTTAATAACCAGGCACAGTAAAATACTGGTTTCTGGCCATGCATGAGATGACACATCCAGTGCTCCCAGCTCAGATATCTTTCAAGCTCTACACTGATATTATCACGGTGACAAAAAAATTCTCCAAAGTTAAAAAAGTCAGTGCTAGGTACCTATTTACTCTTCAGCCACAGAGGCAATGCTGGGCATCTATTTAGTCTTCAGTTATAGGCTGTCTTCCTGAAGTCTTGAGATGCAAACGCGGGGCTCTGGTGAAAGGTTTTATTTCTACTGTAAGTTTTAGCAAAACTATGTATAACATTGCAAGTTCCTACTGTTTTTCTTCCAAGGGCACACATTACTCAGGTCAAGAAGCTGCAGCGGCAATCTGAACCCGAAGAACGATCAGGGCATTTGGGGGATATTCAAAAGGTGGCTTACAGCTCTGTTTGTGAGCTGCTGTCTCAACTAAAGCAAAATCTGTAAAGCACTTAAAACTTTTTGCAGCTTATTTTCACTCAGTTATTCTTTCAAAATGGTTTAATGTCCCAAATGCCTTGTGAGTTGACAAATGCACTCTTCAGAAAGAAACAGATACATACCACCACTGGTAGGGGACAGCAAAGGGGGCCCAGGTGTGACACTAGCCGCACTCCTTTATTTTGCTTTCTTTTTGTAATTTACTTTGCCACTGTGTTTTTTGATTTTCATATGTTGACAGTCACTACAAACCTGTACTAAGAGTCAGTCATGTGCTGACATCAGAGTCAGAAAAAAAACCTTCTTCTATACGCTTCAGGAAGGAAGGAAGAAGCTGCACTACTTAAACGCGTTCGAAGTTCCAGACCAGTACTAAAATACTTTCAGTTTACAGGCCACTATTAGAATGTATCTCAAATCATTGTGTTTAAAATCATATTGTTTATACTACTTAAAACCCGTAAATTTTTTCCATAAAATATTAATAGAATTTCAGAATTTATTTCTATATTATTATAACTAGTGTTATAACTAGCATTATGCAATTATGTGAAATTTGAAGTGAGGATCTGGATCAGAAAAGTGTATTAAAGCAGGACCACCACTGTGTTATGATATTTCCCATTTATTTTATAAACTTTGTTACTGAACACCAAGTGCCACAGAATCTGAAATGCAGCATTTGTAATTCTCCTGTCATTCATTCTCAGGAAATACGAGCCTGATTGACCTGGGCTGCTGATAACACAACTCAGTATTTTTCCAGTAGACCGCTGTTGGTCCTTCTGTACATAGGAACAGAAAGTATGAGATCAGTATCTCTTCCAAAATGTACAGAACGTACCCAGAGAAGGAACCACAGAGGAAATATAAATATTCGAAGGTTTTTTCTTTTTTAAATTACTGAAATCGAGGCACAGCAATACTTACAAGATTTGAAAAAAAATTACATTATGTCCCCAATATATAAAGCAGCAGCTAATTTTCAACTGAAAGGAACAGCAAACCCTCAGGGAAACTGCACAAATACTTCAAAGGGTCAAAACACTTATCAAATCAAAATTCTTGCCATCAGTCAGCAGAACTGTTTCAGCCTCTGCAGATAGTTTGTTTATTATCCCCTAGTCTTTCCTGGGGAGTGCCAGGACAACTCCACAAGCTGGAGGCAGAGCAAGGCTTCCAAATTTCAATATTTAATGCAAAATGCAAAAGCACAACCCGATAGTCAGTATCCTCCTGCAGACTTAGCCACTAAAAAAGGTGAAAGGTCAGAATAAAAGAGATCCAGCAGCAACAATGTGAAGTGTCCAAGAGCCGCTGTTGTGAATGGTTTTGGGGTTAAATATGAAAATAACTCCCTACAGCCCCTCTGGACTTTACTAATGCTGATCTTTTTCTCAAAAAAGCTACTCCAACTATAATGGAGGGTGAAAATGCAGAACGCTATGACAGAGAAATGAGAACATGGCAATATGAAGGGTCCATTTAAGTTCACCAGAGCCATAAGACTCAAGTTGGAGCATACCGGTTGTGCCTGTACAAGGGGGTCTGCCCAGAGAATGCAACTTATGACTGGAATTGGTTTGGCTTAATCCTATTTTAACAGGAACCAGCAGGAGCAGAGCGTTGCCCAGCCGAACCTGCAGCCCCTGAGCTCACTCACCTCACTCTGCACCACCAGCCACCTCTCTGACACCCATGAGGGAGAGGGACCTTCCCAAACAGAGGTCAAGGAAAAGGAGGGGGGTGATGCAAAGGCCACACAAACTTTCCTGCAGCTTTTTCCTCCTTCTTCCCCATCCCAGTTCCCCAGGTCACACTTCATGCTTCTCCTTGAGTCTCAACCCCCAAGCGTACATGCTTTATAAATAGAAATAAAATAAATTAGCTTTTTTGTGAAAGAAAACATCAGCCCCCGCTTTTCCCCCAAAGGAAGCCTGCAGTCCTCAGACAATTTTGAAAGCATAATGTGATCACTTTTCCATGTTTTAGCCTTAAGATGACGACCACATGTGACTCGGCTGCACAGCTCATACCCCAGAGTGTGTAATTCAGCACAAGGATGCTGTACTTGCTACAGGTCTAACCAGGAGTGAAGATGGGGAAACGCGAGAGCAGTGCAACTCCAGTAAGGGTGTTCACAGAAATTTGGGGCTCCCCTGATAATCAGTACAGGGAGATAACAGAATTAAATCACTTCACAGGGGAGATGAAACTAAAGACGGAGTCTCTTCCTTTACAGAGCAAACCCAGTTACTACAGTTACCCCTTACCCCATAATCAAATCTCCCTGAGATTTCAATTAGTTTCACAGTTATCAGATTACTTTTTTAACACTCTATAGGTTGATATACATAACAAAAAGCAGGACCAGAGAGAAACACTTTGTAATGTTGTATTTTTAACTCTTTAGTTGTAAAATAAGGCTTTTCCTAGCTCACAATTTATTTTTAGTAGTCCTCTTTTGTATTGGCCACATTTGCATGGCATTTTTATAAAATATTGCAAGATACCATTTGGCAGATTAAATTACAACACAGAATATCTTTTTTTGCAGT